TCCTGGGGTGGTACCTGGCTGGGGAACACACTGACAAAATTTCAGCCTGAAAGCTTGCGTGGTAGGCGAGTTGAAACACCCGGACAGACGAACACACACACACACACACACACAAACATACACACACACTGACAGGGTCGTTGCAATATGCGTTTTTTATGCGTTTTTGCCGTGCAGCGCTAGAGCGCTGCACGGCACATAAAAACGCATGATCATATCAGCAACCCTGGTATAGATCGCCGTCTGAGCAAGGGTAAAAAATTGTTGCTGATAAGACAAGGGCTATAATACGGCAAGGGTCGAAAAAGCTGTCCACATACTTCGTACCAATATGTGTGCAGCAAAAGTCAAAAAAAAAATTTTTTTTTGCATTTGGGTAAAAATTGCTTTCTTGGTTATTGGTTCATCTGATTCGAATTCGACATTCATAGCGAGTCTAATGAAATGGTCATCAGGATGAAGTACAGCCATCTCTTGTTGGATATCAATGAATCCACAGTGAAACACGCGCATGTGGCTACGTGTTTTGTGTTGCGACAGCCGCACAAAACGCTATTGACGAGACTCTATCTGTGTGTGTGTGTGTGTTGTGTGAGTGTGTGTTCCGGGTGCGTTTCACCCTGCGTTTCTGCTTGGAAGCCTGGGAAGTTAGGAAGCTGAAATGCTAGGGGGATTTCCTACTCGCTTGAGATCTCGAAAGCTTAAATTCAGGATCCGCGTACCCTAGAATTTACGTACTGTCACGTGAAAATTTTGGCTCCTAAATTAGCAACTTGTGCGACACAAAAACCAGGAAGCAGAAAATCTAGAAAATTGTCCTTGCCTGCGTATAATACCGCAAACTGAAGTTCAGCTCCCGGGCATTCCCGGGTCTCACATGCGGATGTATGAAATTTTTTGCGTCAAAATTAGGAACTCGGGAACTATAAAAGCTGGGAAGCTGAAATTTCAGGATACTGCTCCCGACCTGCGTACGACCTCATAATTTTAAAAGTAGCCTTCATGCACGCCTGGGTTTCAAGTACTGAAATTTTCGGAGCCGAAATAATAACTCAGGACCCAAAAAAACTTATGCGGACTTGTGTATACCCTCAAACAGCAATGTAGTGAACACTTTAACAGCAAAGTTTCTCTGGATCGAGTTGCACAAAACTCACAATTGCACACGTTACCCTGATGTGCTTCACTATTCATTATTATATGCAACACTTTGGTTTAAACGTTGCACAGAAAACGTACGTCTTGTACAAATTTGAAAGCAAAATATATGAGAATTCGCTTTACGTTGCTATTCGGCAGACAAAAAGAAAAAAAAAACAAACAACCGAAAGCCAGAGCGAGCGAAATGACGCAGCGTGAAATGAATGGCTTGAAATCAGCTACTGGAAGCCAGATCTCGGATAATTTCGATTGGTCTCTTTTCTCCTCAATCTGAAGTCTCAGCAAGCGCTACCTCG